ATAAACGAACCGGACATTCTTGAATCCTGGCTGGACCATTCTGTCAGGGCCTGTGCATGGAGGAGCCCTGGTGACCACCATGAATGGCCTGGGCAGGTCACAAGTAGCTGTTTGATACCTTGATGGCCTGCAGCAGCCGAGCAATGCTCAGCCCTTCCTGAGTGGGTGGCTGGAGGTGGAGCACCAGAAAGGCAGCTGTGAATCGCCCCATGCACCACGCTGTTAGTGATTCCAGTGTTGTGCACACTTGAGTAACACTCAGGTAACTTTTAAGGGAAAATAATTATTTCACTGCCCTTCAATGTTGAATTAAATAATGTTTAATTATGGGCATAAAACTAAGTAGAAGGGGTACACATGATATAACTGTATAATCAAAATGAAATTGCCAATTAAATCAAAACACAACTTCAAAGCACAGAGTTAAAACCAACAACTTTGATAAGATAGAGAATGCTTTGCGGAAACCCAGCTGCTCCTTATGGCACAGATGTAAGAACTTACCTGATGGTGCAAGTTCTCATGGGCTAGGCGGGTAATAACAATTAACTCGAAATTAAGAAAGTAAGCTAATTCTTCCCCTATTAGCTCAGCGCTTTGCATTTAAAGTGATACTACCTCAGTCTGCTGCTGGACTTACATGTGGTGTTGAGATAGGAGGAAATAAAGACATAAATGAGGAAGCTCTATGTGATGGTCAGGCATGATATGCTGTGATTCCAGCACTTTGGGAGGCTGAGGCGGGAGGATCGCTGGAGCCCAGGAGTTTGAGTCTAGCCAGGACAACATAAGAAGACCTTGTCAGGCCGGGCGTGGTGGCTCACGCCTGTAATCCCAGCACTTTGGGAGGCCGAGGCGGGTGGATCACGAGGTCAAGAGATCGAGACCATCCTGGTCAACACGGTGAAACCCCGTCTCTACTAAAACTACAAAAAATTAGCTGGGCATGGTGGTGCGTGCCTGTAATCCCAGCTACTCAGGAGGCTGAGGCAGGAGAATTGCCTGAACCCGGGAGGCGGAGGTTGCGGTGAGCCGAGATCGCGCCATTGCACTCCAGCCTGGGTAACAAGAGCGAAACTCCGTCTCAAAAAAAAAAAAAAAGACGACCTTGTCTCTATGAGAAAAAAAAAAAAAAAAAATTAGCCGGGCATGGTGGCACGTGCCTGTGGTCCCAGCTACTCGGGAAGACGAGGTCTTCACCTTTAGGTGAGACCCGGAGGTGGAGGCTGCAGTGAGCTGTGATCTTGCTACTGCACTGCAGCTGCTCCAGCCCGGATGAGGTGGTGAGACCCTGTCTCAAAAACAAAAACAAAGCAAAGCAGAAAACATGGATAAGGAGTGGAATATATGTTCCGCTCCTAAAAACACAAAATTAGGCCAGGCACGGTGGCTCATGCCTATAATCCCAGCACTTCAGAAGGCTGAGGCGGGCGGATCACCTGAGGTCGGGAGTTCGAGACCAGCCTAAGCAATATGCAGAAACCCCATCTCTACTTAAAATACAAAATTAGCTGGGCATGATGGTGCACGCCTGTAGTCCCAGCTACTCGGGAGGCTGAGGCAGGAGAATTGCTTGAACCTGGGAGGTAGAAGTTGCGGTGAGCCGAGATCATGCCATTACACTCCAGCCTGGGCAACTAGGGTGAAACTGTTTTTTTTTTTTTTAATTCTCATGGAAAACTTGAGAGTCCTGAAGAATACTGTTTTATTAAATTCTCTCCCCAGGCATGGGATTATTAAGTGAAAGGCTACATTCAGCTTCACGGCTCTAACCTCCAATGCTAATGGTTTCACCCAGGAAAATAGGTGATTTGCACACAGTCAGAGCAGGTGCACGAATCCACACCTGACATCAGACCGCTGGCCTTAGATGAATCCTGCTGCTCCTCTGCCCAAATCCCTACTGGCCACTAATCGCACTCAGAGTGAGCCCCAAGTCTTTCCCTAGGCCCCAGGTCATCTGACTGCACCTCCTTCCCTGCTTCCCCTTGTCCTCCCAGATCCTGAACACCCCGTCCATGCCCCGGCTGCCACTTTTGCACATTTCCCTGCCCTACCAAACAGAACTCAGAGTCAGGAGCAGGCTAAGGTAGACTCATATCCCTTCCCTTGAATCCGGGCAGGCCTATGGTTGGCTTTGACCAATAGAACAAAAGGGAAGTGTCGTCTGAATGATTCACACAGCACTTACGGGGTCAGCGTCTCACAGCACCTGCCACACCGTCTTCCTCACAGCCTTCTATCAGTAGAAAGAGCCGGAATCACTCTTGACTTAAATGGCCACAATGAAAGCAGCAGTGCCTCTGGCTCTTATCAATGGGGCCAGACTCGACACTTAGCTTGCAGGACCCAAACCTGGATGGAGGGCTGAGGATGGAAAGGACTGGAGTCACCAAGAGTGACAGCTGCATCGCAGTGGTGCCTCTCTCCTGCCTCTTGCCGCTGCAAAGGCCCATTGGTGGCTTTCCAGTGTGCCTCCAGGACAGGAAGGGGACAGGGATGACTGCCCATCCCCAGGCTCAGCAGACCCTCTGAGGTCACTGAGGTGGGCCGGGTGGTGGAGGGGGTGAGAAGTGTGAGCCTTTCCCTAGGTTACCGTGCCAGGGGTTCCAGACGCAGGAGGGGCACTTACACCCAGGCCTGAGAGATCTGGCAGCCTTCACTTCCTTCCTGTTGCCTATTCTTCATCCAGAGAGACCTGTGAAGAGGCCACATGGAGAGGGAGAAGCAGGGAACAGGGTGGCAGAGAGACCTGAGGCTCCCTTGGCAAACCATTCCAACCATCTCAGCCTGAGCGTCATTAGACCTCAGAGTGAATGAGCCAGCCTGGACGTCCAGCCCTGGCAGTTACCAGTGTGCGTGCCCCGGCCACATTCTTGACCCAGAATCGTGAGAAATAATACAATGGCTATTTGTTATAGAGCAAGATATAACGCAAACGGGGACATTACCTGGGCATGTCGGATGCGTGCAGGGGGCATGGTTCTGGGTTCAGGTGAGCCACAGGCAGGGAGGGTGGCAGACGTTATTCTGGTGGCACTTTCGGGGCACAGGCGGAGGAGCTGCCACTTCTGCTGTCTGGGTGAGAGCGTTGAGGCTGACACTGGCATCAAGTTCAAGCATATTGGATTCTTTGGGTCCCACCGGTTCTGTCCCCCACCTCCTCGGCCAGCCTCTAAACGGGATTGACCCTGGGCTTAGAAGAACAGAGTTTTGGAATCCACATATAAAAGCAGGATGTAGAAACAGAGGTGGCTTCCGAAGCATTTTCCCTGGAGGCAACAGTGTGTGTGTGTGTGTGTGTGTGTGTATGCGTTTCGGTACATGTGTATGCCTGTATGAGTGTGTATGCGTATATGAGTGCATGTGTGTGAGTGCGTGTGTTTGTATGAGCGTGCATGTGAATGTGTGTGCTTGTGCACGTAATTTACCTTGCTTACTTATACCTGGAAGTTGAATGAGCACCCATGTGATCCTAATCAGGTAAATTTAAAAAACACAGCCAAAAAATAGTTCTTTCTCCCCATCCGCCTTTTGTTCTGTATTTCCGCCTCCCACAACTTTCTATTTTAGGAAATTGCAAACCTCAGCGCAGCAGTATAATGGGCATTACATCCCTTCACTAATATTCTCCAGAACACATCTTACCTTTTCTGTGTGCGTGCTCTTTCTCCATACACACATATGCGCGCGCACACACACACACATACTCACTTTCAGTGACCCATTTGAAGGTAAACAGCAGATCATGATCTTCCTAGGTACTGTAGGAGTGTGTACTCCTGTTTGGCCAAACACCATCCTCAGTCCAAGAAGATTTACATGGATTCAACAATGTCATTTTTTTTTTTTTGAGACGGAGTTTCGCTCTTGTTACCCAGGCTGGAGTGCAATGGCGCGATCTCGGCTCACTGCAACCTCCGCCTCCTGGGTTCAGGCAATTCTCCTGCCTCAGCCTCCTGAGTAGCTGGGATTACAGGCACGTGCCACCATGCCCAACTAATTTTTTGTATTTTTAGTAGAGATGGGGTTTCACCATGTTGACCAGGATGGTCTCGATCTCTTGACCTCGTGATCCACCTGCCTCGGCCTCCCAACGAGCTGGGATTACAGGCTTGAGCCACCGCGCCCGGCCAACAATGTCATTTTTTTTTTTCTTTTGAGACCGAGTCTTGCCCTGTTGCCCAGGCTGGAGTGCAGTGGCATGATCTCGGCTCACTGCAACCTCCGCTTCCCAGGTTCAAGCGATTCTCATGCCTCAGGCTTCAGAGTAGCTGGGATTACAGGTGCCCGCCACCACGTCCAGCTAATTTTTGTGTTTTTAGTAGAGATGGGGTTTTGCCATGTTGCCCAGGCTGGTCTAGAAGTCCTGGGCTCAAGCAATCCACCCACCTCAGCCTCCCAAAGTGCTGGGATTACAGGCGTGAGCCACCATGCCCAACCAACAATGTCATCTTAAATACAGTTTATATTCAAATTTTCCCTTTCCTAAATGTTTAACACTTTTTGCGGGGGAGGGGGGTCTATCTTTTCCTCTTTTTTTTTTTTTTTGAGACAGGATTTCACTCTGTCACCTAGGCTGGAGAGCAGTGGCTCTAACTTGGCTCAAAGTTTCAAAGTTAAAGACGGAGCCCCACCAAACCAGCAGAGTGGGTGTCAATCTATTCTGCACAATACCAGTACCCGGGGGAGACTAGTGGAAATTCACGCCAGATTGCACCCTGAGGGCGGTGCACATGCGTGAGGACTTCCCTTTAAGCTTCTCCAGGGAGTCTAATGCAGTCTAACACAGGACCCGTGTAAGCAGGTGGGCTCATGCTCTTTGTATCTAAGGCACATCTTGTTCTCTTACCGGCCCAGGCTCCCCCTCAAGCACCCAAAGCCGATGTCTACAAGTCACTGACCTCTAAAGGGTCCGAGTCTTCTTTTTAGAGGGGACTATTTGCAGGAGAACAGAATGTGAATGAGGCCAGAGAAAGCACAAACTTGTCAACAAGGCAGATATTTCAACTGGTTTATTGTATCTTTACAATAATAAAAATAAATTAGTCACACACAAAAATAGTTGTCATTTTTGCTGAGAACAGACCATATTTACTCACATAATTCACCTTCTACCCTTCACCTGCTTACGTAATAATTTAACACTCTGAGGGGACATGGAGGCGATGGAATCTTTAGTGGGTTCCTTGCTCCTGGCTGTGCAGTTCACAGGCCAGCCACCCGCCTTGGCCCCAGGTCCCCAGCAGGGACAGTGGAGGTGTCAGGACAGTAAGTACTGCCACTTCCTTCTTAGCCGCTCCCTGTCCCTGCCAGCCACCTGCCTCATCCACAGCTCTAACCAAGCCTCCCAAAACGGGCCAGTCCAAAAACGGGACAAAGCAAAGAGAAAAGGGGTGACACCCTCCCATTTCCTTCTCCAAATGTCTGTGGATGCGGGGAAGGCAGATTAGATGAGGAAATACAATATTTAAGATGAAAAAGTGGCAATCAGGTTCAGGTACAATGCTCCCTGAATGAGTCAAAAAGCAGAGTAATTGATATTTGATCTTAAACCCTGGGGAACTGGACTGATTTGCATACTAAACAACTGTAACTATGGACTGAGAAAAAGACATCAATCGTTGTACAGCGACACTCCGGAGGCTGGGTGAGTACGGTCAAATGATTTCACACAAATGTGGATCGCATATGTAAATAAATACCTATCGAGTCCCTTTAAAATTAACACATTCTAAATAATAGAACTGTTTTGGTGTATGACTCATTCTGCAGATAGAGTTCAGAATACGTATTTCCTATAAACATCTTGTATTTACAGAGGACAAAATAATAAGTTATAACAAAGTATATCCTTCTGTCAACTGGGTCGCAGGGAGGAGTCAAGGCAGGGCTTGTTAGTTTTGTGTAGCAGGTGGCTTCCCTCTCGCAAGACAAAGGGCTGAGAAAGTTGCTGGAAGTTTTCTCCATCCTGTGGCCACTTCTCAGCACGATGGGCACCCCCCACCCCCACCACTATCTGCTGAAAAGAACAGGCATAGGGGGTAGTTCAGGGTGAAGGGAGTTACCTTACCCCTGCGAAGGTGCAGGAACCCAAGGTGAGCTGAGAAAGAGTGGTGGTGTCTACAGGGTCCTCGGCAAGTCCTGGCTCTGATTCCACTACAGTGAGTGGTCCTGGGCAGGCCCCCTGCCATCCTGCCGCTTGGTTACTCCTCTATGTAGAAGGAGGCTCTGACCAACTTGCCAGTGTTTCTCTGAGACGTGAGGCCACATTCAGCTCAGGGTTTCAGTCCCACAATGGGCTCCCCATGGCTGACAGGGTGGCAAAAGTCAGAAATGTAAAAGCACGTAGCTAGGTACTTGCCCTCACAGACCAGATGAATCACCTAAAGCTTTTCTACTTAGATTCCCCTAAGCCCCAAGTGGGGAGGGCCCTGGGCATCACGCTGCCCATCCAGACGCCTGAATCCCCTCTGCAGCATCCCTGACAAATGGCCTCCACTGCCACCTCAAGTGATGGGTGGGGTCACCACCTACCAGAGTCCCCTTCTCTCTGGAAGGCTTCAGCTTGTGAAAAGCTGGGTCTCTGCAGGAGCTAAACTTACCTCCTTGTAGCTTCTCCTTCCTGGTCCTAGGGGAGCTCTCCTTGTGCCCAAGTCCCTTCTCCAGCCTGAAGGTTCTTATGAAGTCCTTCCTGCTGTGTCTGAGAATCTGAGCCCTTCATCAGGTTGGGGAATTGATAGGCTGACGTTACAGATGATCAGTATTCTTCTTAAAGCGTGGTTCTGGCAAATGCAAACAAAATGTGGCATGACCCTTACCACTGTCCTCTCCTCACGTAGCCTGCCTGTCTGTGGGTTTTGTTTTTCTGCATGTTCCAGCCCACTTTCTTGACTCACACTGAGCTTGGTCGACTGAAATTCTTGGCTCTCTCCAACCTTGTATTTATATACTTTTTTGTTTTATTCTAAATATAGGACTTCACATGGATTTCTGGTGACTTTTTAAGATCCAAGTTTTATTCTAGTCTCCCTGATCTTTCTGGGACCAGGATCTGTCACCCAAGCCATCAGCTCTCCAGCTTCACATCATCCATGACATTTTGTGAGGAAGGCATCTACGCATTTTCTCATCTAAACCACAGTAAAATGTTTTATATGGCAAGGATCAAATACTTGTCTCCATCCACCAGGTTGATGGAGATTACGCAGCCTGTTTTAAGGGAAGTCATGCTTCTTTTTATCACGTATATTTGTGTCTTCCTCCTCATTAGAAAATTGATATTCCAACTCTAAAGTGGCTATCCTAATGGAAAAAGAAAAAGAAAAAGAAAAAAAAACCAAACAAAACCCAAAACACAACACTGGTTTAGAAAGGTCCTGGTAATAATATCTGGATTTCTCTCTCTGCCACATAACTTGATGAAAATACATCAAGCTCATGTCTCCTGTTTTCTATCCCTTGGTAAGGCCATTCTTTTTAAAGCAAAAAGAGTGTTGAATGCTAACCACTTTGAGAATAAGTAGATGATACGTATTTAAGAATATAAAGAAAAAACCTCCAAGAACTCTGGGCCAGAGAAGGTAAAGGGATAGGTGGGGACAGTGCTGAGTTGTCATGCTCTAGCTCTCTGGGGGCAGAGACAGGCTGCCTTGCTCCCCCTGGGGTCCCCAAAAGCTTGCAGGCAGCAGGCACTGAACATGCGTTCACGGAACTGAACTGACGCCCTCTAGTGGCTGGCTGGCTTTACAGGGTTTTTTTTTTTTTTTTTTTTTAAGTTAGTATTTCTTAGGCTGTCCCCTTTCTACGGAGAGAACCCCAAGTCATCGTGAGGGTGGAGAGGATCGATTGTATTAAATGTCCGCTGCCTAGGCTGCAAGAGGCACAATTTCCTTTTCCAATGACTGAAAGTAAAACGGCAAACTATTTTTGTTTGGACTTTGTTGATTTTTGTGAGGAAACCATATAACAGCTTTAATTCAGCTAATTAAAAAATTCAGAGCAGGACATGAGGTAATCCAGTACCCAGCCCCCGCTCCAAAAAAAAAAAAAAAAAAACACCCAGTATTGAAATGTAAATTTCAACTCCACATGATGGCCAGTTAAGGGAACATGGGAAGACCAAAAAGAAGCTACAGCAGTGGCAGAAAGGAGAAGGGAAAATCAGTGGGCACCAAGAAAGGAGAGAGAGACATATTTGGAGGGAGACAGCCACCAAAAGCTGGGCTTTTGTTAGGTCCTCTCCCCAAGGAAAGTTATCACTGGAAATCATCCCCAAGGCCCTAATTGTGTGCATTGTGCTAGGGAGAAAGACATTCAGATGCTGAAATAAAAAACCAGGGAATTGGTAAAAACTGGATCTCTCAGACAAATACATTGATCAAACTCCTGTTCTAATCATCTATAACCTCTCCAGAGATGAACTCCAAGAATAGCTCAATGGTTTGTCAGAAAAAAAGAAAAAAGAGACCTTTGGTGTATGTACTTTCTCCCCTGGGGAGACATGGGGCTGATTCATTTGCTCCTCTTCAACTGCACAGTTGGCAGCCTGGCCCATTCTCATGGAGGATCATTCCCCTTTTAAATAATGGTTAGGTAACCTTCAGGAGCCACAGGACACTTTAGACATCAAAGAGACAAAGCCATCACTGACCCAGCCCAGCCACGAGAATTCCTGAGTTGGAAGAACCAGGGTGTTCAGCTCCCACTCAACAGAAAATTCCCTTTAAGGACAGAGAGCTCCCTTGTATGTGACGGCCCTTGCCTCCGGTGGGTGGCTCTGATGACTAGAAGGTGTTCCTTTAACTTGAGCTACAATCAGCCTTTCTCTCGTCCACCCATTGATCTTACCCTGCCCTCCAGCATGAAAAGAAAACCTCTTCAAATGATTGGCTTGCTGGGCAAGATCTGAGAACAGCCACATACGGGAACGCCTCCCCTCGTGACAAGCAGCAAAACAAGTGGTGAGTGGGGAAGAGCAGGCCCTGGACAGCACCGGTCAATGTGCTCGGCCTCTCTCGTCTCTTGCCTTTGTCAGTCTGGGAGCCTGGGCCTCTTGCCAGGCTGCTTATCCGCAGGAGTTTCAAGAGAATCAGGAGAGATGGGGATGCTTTTGGGAAATGATGCCTGGGGCTCCCCAGAAGAGAAGCTGGAAAGCTGCCCACAGAAAGGCCAGATAGAATTTCTAAAATCCCCAAGTTAATGGAAGCCTAATGAGCATGTCCGGCCAGGCTGCCATGTTGTTTCCAAAACCTGCAAACCATCATCACATGAGCCGATTTGTCAGCCGAAAGAGCAAAGGGGGGAAACAGTTTGCTAAGAATCCAGGCTTGCTTTAAAAGGGAAATATGCCCCCCAGGACCGTAAGATAAGTTTTCTGTAAGTTTACAATTTGTTTAGCTTGCTGTTTTCCTTAATGGGTAAAATATACATCTATTCCTCTTAACCGGTTTTTCAGAGGGTCCACCTTTCAATAGGCGCTGCCTCCTCCTTCAGACCTGCAGCCTCTGGAACTGGATAGTTGGGGGAAATGAACTGGAAGAGATGGGGAGGGGTCCACAGTGCCTCGTCCCAGGCCAGTTTTATTCACGCAGATCTTGGTGAGAAAGTCTGGGCGTGAGGGGTACGCACTGTGAGTCCTGGGGGAGGGGAGAAATTGTGGCCAGAGAAATCCATAAACAAAACCAGAAAGGCCAGAAGGAGACTTAGTCTAACACAGCAGTGTTCTGGCTGGGACAGTCTGGCTGGACTCACCCTGGGGATGGTGAAGGGCATGGGGGAGGTGGCTAAGGCAGGGCAGAGCCCAGGGTGCAGAGCTGTGTGCTTCAGAAGTCAGCTCTGCGGTGGGGCCAGAGGGCCCAGAAGGACCTTGGCCGGATTCCTTTGGGAGAAACAGCACTTGGAATGGAGTCAGAAATTCAGGCAGTCACCTGGTTCCCCCGATGGCTTTCTAGTTTCACGGACAGTTTAACAAAGCCTGCAGAGTCCTGTAACTAGGGTCTGTAACTTTGCAGGGAAGGGAAGGTAGGAACAGACGTCCAAAGCAACTGAGTGCTGGGATACAGACTTGATCAGAAAGATTTCAGGGGCCTGGGCTTTGTTTGGATTCTGGGAAACTTCTCAGCCTCCAACCCCCAGACTTGGTCAGAAATGAAGCCACCACCCTTCACACCTAAGGACAGCCCCCAAGCTGGTATTGGTAGATGACTGGGGCAGGGACTCAGCTCTTCCACTGGATGGGCGAATACACCTGGCAGGTCAGTTACCTCAGTTGAGCCTCAGTTTCTCTGTCATTAAAACGCGGATGATGAATCACCCCCTACCTCTCATTCCGGGTTGTTGTGAGCTGCTAAGGAGCTAGTCTCTGTGAGTATACCTGCTAAATAAAGCACAATAGTCATGTGAGATATTTGTGTCATACGGCAGGAAACAGTCTAATGTCTTGAGAATGAAAACAGGCACAGCTGGGCTGAGGTCACAGAGGGACGCACGCGTGTCGGCAAGGCTTAGAGGGGCTCTGGATTGGGGACACTGCCTCCTTGGACTCTCCAGGGAGCTAATGTTAGAAAGGCCAGTAGCACCATGGACGGGGCGGTGCTCAGGCAGTGGCCCATCTGCTGACTTGAAAGGTGCCATGTGGGAGCAGGGCTGAGAGCTCCATGCACTTCCCGCTGCTTGGCTTTCAAAGGACACCATTAGCAGGTGCCGGGTCCAAGGAGGGGATCATCAGTACATGGTGATGCTTAAGGGACCAATCGTGGCTTTCAAACATCCTGTGTTCAAAGCCCCTGGGTACAGGCGGTGGTGACTAAGCGGCTTGGCAGCGCCTGGGCCAGGGGGCCCTTGATGGAGCAGCAGCCAGCCAGGCGTACTGCGGAAGCCCCTGGGAGGGCAGTGATGCTGCCCCACGGATGGGGTGCGGGGGCGTTATCTGCTCCCCAGGAAGCCCGTCTGCCTGTTGGCCACACGGGTGCAGGAGGCGCAGCAGGCAGTCTTGTAGTAGTTGTAGACACAGAGTCTGGCTTGGACCACCACGTTGCAGTTGTAGTACTTGTCCTTGCAGTTTTCATCTGCAGTGGAAGAGAATGAACAAAAGGCTCCCTGAGCACAAGAGGCAGCCTAGACTCCTGGGAAGAGAAAGGGTCGTGGCAGCGGCTTTAACTCCTATGCTGCTGTTTGTTACCTAGGTGAGGTGTGAATGTGTGCCAACAGCACACAGATTTTCCTTTTTGTTTTTTTGAGACAGGGTCTCGCTCTGTCGCCAGTCTGGAGTGCAGTGGCACGATCTCGGCTCGTTGCAACCTCCACCTCCTGGGTTCAGGTGATTCTCCTGCCTCACCCTCACGCCAGCATGCCCAGCTAATTTTTATATTTTTAGTAGGGCTGGGGTTTCACCATGTTGGCCAGGCTGGTCTTGAACTCCTTGACCTCAGGTGATCTACCTGCCTTAGCCTCCCAAAGTGCTGGGATTACAGGTGTGAGCCACTGTGCCCGGCCATCTTTCTTATGAACATTGTAAGGGAAATAGGTATAGAGAAAAAGTGACCGAACTGTGCCTCACTTCACTCTGATCACTTCCTCCTTCATCCTCATCACTCTAGAGGTAATCAGATGTCCCAAATTTGGTGTTTCTTATCCGTAAACATTTCTTTACACTTAAACTCTATATGATGTAATCCCTCACCACTCTATGACATTTAAACATAAAAAGATAAGTATTGTATATTTATAATTATATATATTTGTATGTAAATTTGTATATAAATACATATTTATATACAAATATTTGTATATAAATTTGAATATAAATTTGTATATATATATTTATATACAAATATTTATATATTTAAATATAATACATATTTATATAAATATATATTTACATACAAATATATATATATATATATATATTTATATATAAATATTTTTATATATACTAATAAAAAAGATAAATATTGTATATTTATAATTATATATAATATATATAATTTTTATCCTTGGCAACTTACTCAACATTGAATTTGTGCAATTCATATTTAATGAATGCTCTAAATAATTCATTTTCCTTATTGAATAGAATTTTCCTGTCTATATGATATAATCCACAATTTAATCATTTTCTGCTGATGGACATTTAAGTTGTACACTAATCCAGTGTTTTTTTCTTCTACTGCCAGCTTTTAAGCAGTTTTGTTACCATCCTCTATCTGGGCCTTGCTGGGTCATAAGGTTTGTGCAACTTTGCTAGATATGGTCAGTTTGCGCTTCAAAGTCAGTGTAACTATTTACGTTCCTGTCAGTGGAACAGAAGAATTCTTTCCACCACATGTTTTAGTTTTTGCTGATCTGGTGAATGTGAAATGATTCCCCTGTGAGGCTGAGCATATTGTGTATATTTGCCATTCAAGCTTCCTTTCCGTGAATTGCTTTTCTTGATCTTTTGCTCATTTTCTGATTTAGTTAACTTTAAAACATGATTTGTGAAAATTCTTGATATCAGATGGATCTGATCCTTTGCGAGGTGGGTTACATGTGCCGCAATTATCTTCTTCAGCCTGCGGCTTTTCTGACCACTTTGCTTCTGGTGTTGTTTGATAAACAGAGATTTTAAAATTTTAATGTAATTGATATTATAATATTTTTTCTCCTTAGTGCTTTGGAATTGTTGGTTTCATTTAAAAAACCCTTTTGTATTCTGAAATGAAACATAAATTTCCCCATTCTCTTCTAAAAGTTTTAAAATGCTCTTTTCATATTCATTTGACTAATCCACCAGGAATTAGGGTATGTGGTGTGTGTAGGAAGACAGGAGGGAATTCACTTTTCTTGTTCTTTGGTTTGTATGCGGATGAACAATTGTCTCATGACCATTTATTGAATTGTTTGTCTTTTCCCCACAGATTCATAATGACACCTCCATCATACATCACGCATCCTTTATGTGTTTATTTCCGGGCTCTCTGTTCTGCTCTCCTGGCTTTTTAAAATCCATTCTTGTGCCAATATGCCGTGATATGTGGTAGGAAATTCCCTCAGCATCGTTCATCATCAAAACTGCCTTGCTCTTCTTGGTTCTTTGCTTTTGCCCTTCCATATAAACTTTTTTTGAGACAGCGTCTAGCTCTATTGCCCAGGATGGAGTGCAGAGGCTTGATCTCAGCTCGCTGCAACCTCTGCCTCCCGGGTTCAAGCCATTCTCCTGCCTCAGCCTCCTGAGTAGCTGGGATTACAGGTGCATGCTGCCACACTCGGCTAACTTTTTTTTTGTGTGTATTTTTAGTAGAGACAGAGTTTCACCATGTTGGTCAGGCTGGTCTCCAACTCCTGACCTCAAGTGATCCACCTGCCCCTTAGCCTCCCAAGGTGCTGGGATTACAGGCCTGAGCCACCATATAAACTTTAAACACAGGTTGTCAGATTTTTCTATGAAAACCCTTGCCTGGATTTTGGTTAATATTGCTTGAATTTATAGATTAATTTGGGAAAGAACTGACAATATACTTCTCAGCTGTTTGCTTTTTAAAATATTACTCACAAATATATTTAGATACGTTTTTTGCATCATATCTGTCACCTTCTATGGGGTATCTGAGTATGTTGTCCTATGTGCTGGAACATAATTAAAGAAGCCATTTCTTTCTATTTATAGAAATGTAATTGCTTCCAATTTTTCTGAGCTGCAAGAAATTGTAGGATTCATTCATTTGTTAATTCTACACAATTCATTAAGCCCTACTGTTTTTTTTTTTTTTTTTAGAGATGGGGTCTTTCTGTGTTGCTCAGGCTGAGGTGCAGTAACTGTTTATAGGGATGATCACAGTTTGAGTTCCTGGGCTCAAGTGATCCTTCTGCTTCTGCATCCTGAGTAGGTGACACACCCAGTGAGCCCTGTTCTTTGCGTGTGTGTGTATCTGTACATTTTTGAGAGCATATTTTTAGTATATATTCCTAGCAGTAAAATGATTAAGTCAAAGATAATGGGCGCTTTGTATCTTGATAGATAGTGACAAAATTCTCTCCAAAAAGATTATACCAAGTTACAAGCTGGCACTTGACCAATCCCCCACAAGTTTGCCAACATGAACATTGTCTAATATTTTAAAAGTTTGCCAATCTTATGGGAAAACATGGACTCCCATTATTTTTAAAATTTGCATTTCTGATTACTAGTAGCTTGAGCATTTCCTCAGCCTCTTTTGGTGGTAGTTTTTTTTTTTTTTTTGAGAAAAGGTCTCACTCTGTCACCTCGGCTGGAGTGCAGTGGTGCGTTCGTGACTCACTACAGCCTCGACTTCCTGGGCTCAGGTGATTTTCCCACCTCAGCCTCTCAAGTAGCTGGGACTACAGGCATGCACCGTCACACCTGGCTAATTTTTGTGTTTTTGGTAGAGAAGGGTTTCGCCATGTGGCCCAGGCTGGTCTCAAACTCCTGATCCAAGTGATTCAACCATTTCAGCCTCCCAAAGGGCTGGGACTACAGGTGTGAGCCACCACGCCCGGCCTTGTGGTGGGTTTGTTCATCGCCTTTATCCTTTACAAAATTGGACCATTTGTCTTTTTTTAAATTGAATGAGTTCTATCTATATTGGGGATTTAATTTTTTTTTTTTTTTTTTTGAGACGGAGTTTCGCTCTTGTTACCCAGGCTGGAGTGCAATGGCGCGATCTCGGCTCACCGCAACCTCCGCCTCCTGGGTTCAGACAATTCTCCTGCCTCAGCCTCCTGAGTAGCTGGGACTACAGATACGCGCCACCATGCCCAGCTAATTTTTTGTAGTTTTAGTAGAGACGGGGTTTCACCATGTTGACCAGGATGGTCTCGATCTCTTGACCTTGTGATCCACCCGCCTCGGCCTCCCAAAGTGCTGGGATTACAGGCTTGAGCCACCGCGCCCGGCCAGGATTTAATTGTTTGTCTACTTGAGTGACATTTATTTGCTTTTAGGATGCTATCAGGCCGGGCGCGGTGGCTCACGCCTGTAATCCCAGCACTTTGGGAGGCCGAGGCAGGCGGATCACGAGGTCAGGAGCTCGAGAGCAGCCTGACCAACATGGTGAAACCCCGTCTCTACTAAGAATACAAAAGTTAGCTGAGCGTGGTGGCATGCACCTGTAATCCTAGCTACTTGGGAGGCTGAGGCAGGAGAATTGCTTGAACCCGGGAGGTGGAGGTTGCTGTGAGCCAAGATCATGACACTACACACCGCCCTGGTGAGAGCATAAGACTCCATCTCAAAAAAAAAAAAAAAAAAAGAAAAGATGCAGTCAATTGTAGGGTGATCTAAAAAAGCTGATTTCAACAAGTTGCCAACAGCACGCACACACCCATGTGCTCAGGTACTATTTTCTTCTCCAGCATCATGATCAAAATGTGCACCTGAGCCTTCTTTACCTTCAGAGCCTACACAGACTATTGCTATATATACCCTGTGTGCCACAACTCTGGCTTGTGGCCTGGACATTTTTAGTAACTTTGGTGTTGACAGGTGTAATTTTGAGGCATATCAAAGAATACCAAGGCTGTGTCTACAGTTCTGTTTTGTTAATCTCATAGCTTCCCTTTATTCTTCAGTTGAATTTTATGTAATTAGAAGCTAGACAATTTCCTCTACTTGAAAAGACACCGTAGACAAACATAGAAGACGAAAACAGTGACAACACATTTTGTAGCACATTACATTAGTTAAAAGCCTTTGACAAAGTGAGGCAGCTGAGTGATGCCCTTCTGAGCATATGATTTGCTTATGCCAATAATTCCTAGACTTGAGAATTACACAATTCCAAGGACCTGCAGTTTTGACTGTCTTTAGTTATATTATCTGGCTTGAGACAAACAGGCAACTTTATGTGTATAAGTTTTTTTCTTTTTCTTTTTTTTTTTGAGACATGGTCACACTCTGTCTCCCAGGCTAGAGTGCAGTGGTGGGATTGTAGCTCACTGCAGCCTTAACCTCCTGGGCTCTAGTGATCCTCACACCTCAGCTTCCCAATTAGCTGGGACCACGGGCATGCACTACCATGCCCAGATAATTTTTAAACATTTTTTGTTGACATGGGGTCCCAGTATGTTTCCCAGGCTGGTCTTGAACTCCTAGGCTCAAGCAATCTTCCCACCTTAGCCTCTCAAAGTGCTGGGATTACAGGCATGTGCCATTGCATCCAGCCCAAAATATTTTCTTATAGCGTTTTTACAAAGCATTTTCTCTGTTAGAGTCTTTAATCCATTAGACATTTACATATTTTATATTTTTAAAGTGATCTTCAGTGTGGTCTCAATACAATGGAAGTCTCTCCTCTCCCCACTTACTTATCATTCCCCTTTTAACAAACTTAACTTCCCTTTATAAAGGAGTCTGTTTCAGAATTCTGCATTATGACATTGGCATATGATACGCCTAAATCATATATTAGGTTGGTGCAACAGTGAATCCAGCTTTGAAAATAATGGCAAAAACCGCAATTACTTTTGCACCAACCTAATAGTTTTAGTTCTGTAGCTTTGTAATATGTTCTAATATACAGCACATACAGCTCCCCTTGGGAACCTTCTTTTATCATCTTTACAGTATTGAGCATTCCCATCCAGGAATATGTTAATGTCTCTGTCTATTCACATTTCCCTTTATGTTCTATAGCAAGGCTTTCTTACTTTTATTTTTTTCTATATAGATCTTATATACTTCTCGATAATTTTCTTCTTATGGAATTTGCATTTTTGTGGTTGCTACTGGGAACGATCATCCCCATAACTTTAGTCATGGGTCATTGCTGGGATGTAGGGGGCGCTTAATTATAAAGCATCTCTTCTGTAACTGACATATCTCTGGGATAGAAAGGATGTTAGGTCAGTACATTAAAACCTTCAATTTGGTCCAGAGCAGGAGGAATCGACCCCATGACAGCTTATTTATACATTAATACATTTCCTGTGATGTTACTGTGAAGAAAGGAAAATAAATAAATAGACTGTGAAAAGGCCTACTGAAGGGGCTCGGGGCATCTCTATTCTGGAACCAGTCCTGACTACACCTGGGGGGGGCATTCTGAGTAGATTTTAGGTGGGGCTTTGGGGCATTCAGTATGCCTCTGGAGGTGCATCTCCACCCACCTCACACCTCCTATCTGCCCAATCTATATGCAAGGTGCCTTCTTTGGTTTTCTGGCTGTACTTGAGTTTTCCTGCTGGGATGAGACCCTTCCTCATGAACTGCAGCCCAGGAGTGGGCCTAACCTCCCTAATGCTCTCCAGCGCTTTCCTCCAGGAAACCGGCCCCTCTTTCAAGGGTGCAGGTTGGGGTCTTCTGAAGTGCAAGGCTGCTGTTCCTTGCAGAACTCTGACCATTGTGCAGCCTAGATCTTCCTGCTGTCACTCCCTCTCCTAGTCACTTCGTCCCTCTGAGTGATGGTCGGACCCTCCATCACTGTCTCTATCAATTCTTGGTCTTCTCCTCTTCCTCCCTTCTCTGTTAACACACTGCTAAGGTCCCAGAATCTCTCCACGTGGTCCAGTCTACACTGGTTTGCATCTACAATTAAAAGTTGACACTGAAACCATCATTCTCAGCAAACTGACAGAAGGGCAGAAGATCAAACATCTCATGTTCTCACTGATAGGTGGGTGTTGAACAATGAGAACACATGGACACAGGGAGGGGAGCACTACACACTGGGGTCAGTTGGGGGGAAATAGGGGAGGGACGGTGGGGGGTGGGGAGCTGGGGAGAGATAGCAAGGGGAGAGATGCCAGATGTAGGTGATGGGGAGGAAGGCAGCAAATCACACTGCCACGTGTGTACCTATGCAACAATCTTGCATGTTCTTCACATGTACCCCAAAACCTAAAATACAATAAAATAAATAAATGGGGAAAAAAAAAAGAAAAAAAAAAGTTGACACTTTACTGCTTTGACCTAAAGTCAAATCTTTGAAGGCATTAACTTTCTTTTGAGATGGAATCTTGCTCTGTTGCCTACACTGGAGTGCAGTGGTGTGATCTCGGCTTACTGGAGCCTCTGCCTGCCAGGTTCAAGCAATTCTCCTGCCTCAGCCTCCTGAGTAGCTGGGACTACAGGTATGTGCCACCATGCCTGGCTAATTTTTTGTATTTTCTGTAGAGACAGGGTTTTACCATGCTGCCCAGGCTGGTCTCGAACACCTAACCTCGTGATCCACCTGCCTCAGCCTCCCAAAGAGCTGGGATTACAGACGTGAGCCACCACACCTGGCCGGCATTGCCGTTTTAATCAATCCACACTAAAGCATGCTGGGTGGCTTAGACAGCCATCCACACTATGAATGATCGTCTTAAACTATGAAACTTGTCCAAAAGGACTTTGACCCTCTGAACTCCATGACTGTGTGCAAGGTCACAGAAAGACCTGGAAGAGGCTTGTTATTGTCATATCAGAGAATCCGACAAGCTTAAAAAATACAAACATTTCCCCTATGATTGAAATCTCTACTTACCAACTTCAGGGACACAGTCCTGAGGGTTACAAGATTCTCTCTCTTCTGGTTTCAACTGAGGGTCACAGAGGTTACTCAGAGCCATGTCATCTGACAGACACCGCACTTCCCGGACCCGAAAGCCACCCTGGCAGCTCTTGGAACACTGTGTGGGAACAAGGGGAAAATGTCAGATTTTTGGGCAGACCAATAGCTCAGCACACTGGAGAAGAAAGACACTGGAAAATCTCAAACATTTCCAAAAGGAGATAGAATACGAAAATTCTATCATGTACCTATCAACCAGCTTCCACAATTAGCAACTCATGCCAGGTGTGTCCCATCCATACTCCCAGCCCTCCTGCTCCTCCCACTACGTTGAAGCAAATCTAGACATCTGATCACTTCTTCCATATAATTTAGGGTGTAGTTATAAAAGACAAGAACTCTGTCTTTTAGCGTTTACATGTAAGTTCTTTACATATAAATTCTACCTAGAAATTATAATAATTTCTTATTCTCTTCAATATAGACTCAGTATTCCGACTTATCTTATGACTCCTATAGATTTTTTTTTTTTTTCTGAGATGGAGTCTTGCTCTGTTGCCTAGGCTGGAGTGCAGTGGTGTGACCTCAGCTCACTGCAACCTCTGCCTCCCAGGTTCAAGCGATCCTCCTGCCTCAGCCTCCCCAGTAGCTGGGATTACAAGGCATTCATCACCACACCTGTCTAATTGTTGTATTTTTGGTAGAGACAGGGTTTCGCCATGTTGCCCAGGCTGGTCTTGAGCGCCTGACTTCAGGTGATCTGCCCACCATGGTCTCCCAAAGTGCTGGGATTATAGGTGTGAACCACTGGGCCTGGCCAAGATTTTTTAATACAGGTTATTTTTTCCTTTAAAAATCAGTATCTGCATCAGTTCTGCACATTGCAATTGGTCAAAATGTCTTTCACAAATCTTTCAATCCATAGGTTTCCCTTCCTCTGTCTTTTTCCTCCTTGCACTTAAAAATATTTTGGTTGTGGTCGGGGGTGGAACTGAGTCATTTGTTCTATGGTTTCCCATAGTCTGGATTTTGCTGACAGTGCTCCTGTGGTGTAGTTTATGTTCCTCTATTCTCTCTATTTCCTGAACACTGGAAGTTGGACCTAGAAGAGGCCTTAACAGGTGCAGGGGTTTTTATTGGTTGGTTTTTTTTTTTTTCTTTTGAGACTACTTTCCAGGTGGCTGTCTCTCTTTTGGGGATGTTAGTGGCCACTGATATGCAATGCTCAGATCCATTAGTTTATTGGGGGCTTGGAATTCTAATTCTATCATTTTCCTTCTATTAGCTGGAAATCTTTCATAAAGGATCCTTCCCCCAACACCTTTCCTCTTTGGTTACCCAGTGGCATGGTTTGTTTAAGAAAGAGCATAAACAATTGAATCTTTCCCTTCAGGTGCCAGATTTCATAATAATAAGTCGGTTCCCTAACATCCTATAATGATGACCTATTAGTTTTTTAAAGTATTATAAACTTATTGTAAATGGATGTATTTAAACACATATAATGTGTTTCATCCAATCTACTGCATTATTATTCTTACTGATGTTCAGTGGCTCACAGGAGCCTCTACAAATTGGCTCTGGGATGCTTTGGACATGAGCTCCGTTGTTTAAGAACTTCCTTGCTGCCTGCCAGGAAAAGATATTCCAGCCTAACTTACATATATGCTGTCCCAGATCTGGAAGCAGCCACCCATTCTGAATCCCTGGATTGGTCACTGATTCTAGACTCTTTCAGTGGGTGAAATTAGGAAAGATTTTTAGAAAGGTAACTTATAAGTTCATACTGACACTTCCAATTCGAATTCAGGACAACAGGGTTTTTATTGAGGTCTTAAGCTATATGATATCTATCATGTATCTGTATCTCTTTTCTCTTAAGCAGAGAATCCTAATTCTCAAGGATACTGGGACTAACAGAATTATACTATCATCTAATTACTCATTTGCCTTCTCACACATGATATGCCCAATCATCGTATCCAATACAACACTCTCACCAAAAATAGGATTATTTCAAACAGCGTGAACGTTTTTCTGCGGTAATTTTTCTTTAGCGATAGACTGTCAAATTACTATGTATTAAAGTCACTTGCTGGTGCCACCAACTGGAAACACGTTTAGATTAATTTGTTTCACTGTATTTTCGGTTTTGGGGGATTGCTTTCTTTAAATTTAATTTTCTTTTATAATTATCTAAAATATTTACTTAGTTCCAAACTCAAATTTGCAAAACAAGGTACATTCAAAGAAGTCTAGCTTCCATTAGTCCTTTGCTGTTATAGTAACCACTGACTTCATATTTGTTTCAATTTTTTTTTCTGAGTTTGCATCTAAAATTTTCCCTTTTTGTGGCACACATATCTATTAGTTTTGACAAATTCATACAGTTGTGTAATTCTCACTGCAAACAAGACATGAAATAGTTTCACTGTGCACAAACACGATTCCCCTGTGCTGCCCCTCTGCAGTCAGATTACACAGATGTGCTCACTCATCCTCTGGCACGCACTGATCTAGCCTCTGTCTCTGTAGCTTCTCCTTTGACAGAATATTATATAGATGGACTCATATAACATGTAGTTTTCAGAACCTGGCTTTTTTTTTTTACTTAGCAAAATGCACCGGAAGTTCATCCGTTTTTTCGTTGCTGAGTTTTTTGTTCCACCGTGTGGATGCACCACGGTTTGTCTGTCCACCTGCTGACGGACACGTGGGTTGATTCCAGCAGGTGTTTTCGGAGTTTATTTCCTTTGACTTGACCTGGTGAGCATGGCTCTTTGTAGACTCTCCAGACCAGATGACAAAAGAAAATTGCGATCTGTTCTTATGTCCTCAAGCCTTGGCCAACATTAAAATAATGAAATTCCACTTCCCAGAAGTTGACAGGACACCGTTTGACCCACCTCCTTGGTCCCCATCTGCCTCTGAGATGTGGTTTGCTACACAGCCAAATGGCTGTTACCACTGGAGCAGACAGATACTTTTTGGAAATAGAACTCTCAGCTTTTATTCACACATATTTTTTCTAAGCAAAATTCCCTTTTACTGCTCTTGAATCATTGCGAGAAAGGCTCTGGCCCCTACTCTGGGCTTACTACAGCCTCTGCTTGAAAATCGTCGGTGATGAGAAGCAGAATGACCCTTCCCCACTTCCCACCCTGACCCACAGAGCTATGCCAATGGTCACCTGGAATGGTGCCCTCGGGAGGTTTTCTGGTCACCTGGAATGATGGTGATGAGGTTTTCCATTTTAGGAAATTTCTTGAAAATGAACTCTCCAACTTGAAAAAAATAAATCTTATCACCACATCCATCCTTTCCCCTTTCATTTCTTAATGACTTATTTCTGTATTTATCAATCTCTCCTTCTCTTTCTTCACTTACACACTACTTCCCTCCTTATAAAAAGGATTTGAAATGACTTGAGAAAGATTTAGAGGGCCACAGATTTTTTATAAAAGTGAGAAAACTAGGACTAAAGGAAGATAAAGGCAGGAAAAAGAAAGAGAAGCTACGGGAATATTGGCGCATAAAATCCACTTTGCAGGATCTGGTGTACTCTCTCTTTGAGGTGAGCCATCATTTTTGGCTTTGAGCTTCCTAGTAGCCAGTTCAAAGAGAAAACAGAATCAGTCCCACAATCCATAATCCAGAATGTCTATAGGATTTTTAGAAAGTGTACACACACACACACACACACACACACACACACACAGACAGTGACATAGACAGAGACAGACAGACAGACAGACAGACAGACAAAGTACTGAGGTCTGACAGAAATTCCTCTGGTGAGTTTTATAAAGAGGTCACTGCAGATGTAGTAATTAAAAAAATTTTTTTAGAGATGGGGTCTTGCTAGTTGCCCAGGCTGGTCTCAAACTCCTAGCCTCAAGTGATTTTCCCTACTTGGCCTCCCAAAATGTTGGGATTATAGGTGTGAACCACCACGCCTGACATCAGATGTAGTACTTTTAACAGCACCCTTGTATCCTCGATCCTCTCTGGCAGCATTGCTCAAAATGCAGTCCAAAGGCAACTGCATCCAATACACCTCAGGAACTTGCTAAAAATGCAAATCCTCGGCCATGGCTGGCCCAGAGTTGGTCTTGTCAAACAAGATCCCCAGATGATTCCTTGGCACACTGAAGTGTGAGAGTCCCTGTTTTAAGGCTGCTGCAATTTAGAAACCAAGATCATCGAGGTCTCAGGCCTCCTCCACCTACCAGGCTAAGTCATGAGGTACCCCAGCAGCCACCACCTAAGGTAGATTGCTGTAGAGAATCTCTTTTAGGGCTGAGCCCAGTGCCTGGCCCAGAGGGGTCTATGGGAGTTCAGCTGGGGAACGGTAGGCCAATGCAACCTCCATCAAGAACACCATGACTTACCATGCTCCATTCGGTGCTAAACCATTTGGCTCCACAAGGCTTGAGGTGGCAGGATTGCTGGCTGCGGGGTTTTTCCAGGAAAGAACATTCAGAGGGGTCCAACACTTCAAAGGTGTCTGCATTCTTTCTAACACAAATCACCTCCCTCTGTTGCGTCCCACGCCCACACTCAATGGAACACTGCAGAAAGAAGCAGAGAAAGTTGAGTGTCACATGATGGACAGGGGGCGGCAACTGCTGTCCATCAAGGGATGCTTATGATGGGCACCATCAATTCTACCACCAATTCTGGGAGGAAGAACTGTGTGGGAACCTGGAAATGTTTCTGGAAGAGAAGTGGCATGTGGATTGCAATTCCCTATGAGTTCTATCTCCAAATGAAGACTAGATGCCCTGATGATCTAAGTGGAGGATGCTGGTCACTAAGATCTTGCTGTTTTCTGTGCTGAGAGGGAAATAGTTTATCGGAAACTCTCCTGCAGGAACACACCAGTCAGGTCATTGGGTTGTTTCTGTCCCGTAGACTGTGACATCTCTCACAGGAGGTAAGACAATAAGCTGACATTCTCGTTTTATCTGTTAGTCTCTTAGGAGGTGGATACTGTGACTGAATGCTCTCCCAGCCTCTGCACATCTGTGAACACCTAAAGCTGAGAAGAAGACCCAAGACTTGGGGAAATGTACGCTGTGGTCAGCCCTCCCCTTCCAACAGGGCAGCCAGCGGGAACTGTGACTACAGAGCCCAATCTTCTTGTTTCCTTATGTGGTGCTGAAATCTGTGCCATGGGGTGGTGACCCCACAAAGAAGCTAGGCAATTCCATATGTTGATGCATTTTGTTAGTTCATGGAAATAAAATGCATATAATGCATATGACTGTTTGGTTATAAATTATCCTATTTGGTTATCTATCACTTTGCTACATGATTTTGTATTTTGTTTGGTCTACACAATCTTTTTTCTTCTTTTTGGGACAAGGTCTCACTCTGTCACCCAGACAGGAGTGTAGTGGTGTGATCATGGCTCCCTGCAACCTCAACCTCCTGAGCTCAAGTGACCCTCCCACCTAAGCATCCTTGGGACCACAGGTGTGCACCACCTTGCCTGGTTAATTTTTTTTGAGACAGGATCTCACTCTGTCACCTAGGCTAAAGTGCAGTGGTGCAGTCTTGGCTCACTGTGACCTCCACCCCTCAGGCTCAAGTAATCCTCCTACCTCAGCCTCCAGAGTAGCAGGGAATACAGGCACACGTCACCATGCCCGGTCAATTTTTGCATTTTTTGTAGAGCTGGGTTTTGCCATGTCACCCAGGCTGGTCTTGAACTCCTGAGCCCAAATGATCTGCCTGCCTCAGTCTCCCAAAATGCTGGGATGATAGGCAGAGCCACCACACCAGGCCTTGGCCTGCTAATTAAAAAAAATTTTTTTAGAGATGGGGGCTGGGCACAGTGGCTCACTCCTATAATCCCAGCTCAGGTGGGATTACAGGAGTAATCCAAGGTGGGTGGATCACCTGGGGTCAGGAGTTTGAGACCAGCCTGGCCAACATGGTGAAACCCTCTCTCTACTAAAAATGCAGGAAGTTAGTTGGGCATGGTGGCATGTGTCTATAATCCCAGCTACTTGGGAGGCTGAAGCAACATAATCGCTGGAATCTGGGAGGTGGAGGTTGCAGTGAACCAAGATGGTGCCACTGCATTCCAGCCTGGGTGACAGGGCAAGACTCTGTCTCAAAAAAAAAAAAAAAAAAAAAAAAATTTGTTTTCAGAGACAGGATCTTACTCTGTTACCCAGGCTGGTCTTGAACTCCTGGCCTCAAGCAGTCTTCCTGCCTGGGCTTCTCAATGTTCTGGGATTACAGGCATGAGCCATTGTACCCAGCCTCTTAATACTTTCTCATTAAAAGTTGTAAAGCTGTGGTCTATGTACTTTTATAGACTTTAAAGAATCTACTACCTTTATAAAAAGCCTGTAACGATGTCTGCAGTTCACACTCTAAATATTAGCATTGCTATTCATAAGCAGCCACACAATCAAATAAAAACAGGGAGAAAGAAAAACACCTACCTACAGAAAAAAGCATTATAAAACCCCCAAGCCAACAAATGATGAATTAGCCACACAGGGCATGAATTGGCAGAGGCTATCACCAACAGAAGTTTCTACTTTGTCTATGCCTTTTTGCCATCTTTGTAACATTAAAAAACTACAATATTTCTTTTTTTTTTTTTTTTTTTTTTTTGAGACGAAGTCTCTCTCTGTTGCCCAGGCTAGCATGCAGTGGCAAGATTTCAGCTCACTGCAACCTCTGCCTCCCAGGTTTAAGTGATTCTCCTGCCTCAGCCTCCCAAGTACTTGAGACTACAGCTGCGAGCCCCCGTGCCTGGCTAATTTTTGTACTTTTAGTAGAGATGGGGTTTCACCATGTTGACCAGGATGGTCTCGATCTCTTGACCTTGTGATCCACCTGCCTCGGCCTCCCAAAGTGCTGGGATTACAGGCTTGAGCCACCGCGCCCGGCCTGTCCTTTTCTTTCAAGTGCTGCAGCCAATGGAAGAATTGAAGGCAGGAGAAGAGCCACAGGCTGCAACAGGCAAAGGCTGGCCTCTCTGCAGAAAGAATGAGGAGGGGGCAGGGGTGGGAGGAGGGGGCAGGGGGGGAGGAGGGGGCAGGGGTGGGAGGCGGGGGTGAGCAGCAGGGGTGGAACACTGGACTGAAGTCAGGAGACATGGAAATTAGTCTAGACACCGTCAGTAAATAGCTCCGTGTCTTTGGCCAAGACACTGCACTTCCCCAGGTCGCTCTGATCTTATCTGAAAATTGAAAATAAGGGGTTTGGAAACATGATCTGAAAGATCCGTCACTGCTACGAGATCCTACCTCTGTACTTAAATGTGTGGCGGAAAAGGAGACCGCAAGCCTTGATCAGAACCTGAAGTTATCTTCTGCTATTTTTTGGCAAGTCCTTGATGAGATTGTGTTCTTAAGGGAGAATGAGCATGTCTCAGCCTTCTTTTATTGTAAATGCTCAGAAATAGCAGAATATGTGTGTTTGGAAAGTGAATAAATGTGTGTGTGTGTATGCATCTCTCAATCTCTCTCTCTCTGTCTATGTGTGTGGGTATTTCTCTCTCTCTGTGTGTGTATGTGTGCATGAGGCAGCATTTGAAAACAAGAAAGGGTACTCAGTCTTGGTGGTCCAGAAATTATGGGGAACCTTTGAACACTGAAAAACAGATGAGATCAAAGTAAAGAAGGAAACTAGAGTCCAAATACACACAGAGGAGGAGCTCTAGCAAAGCTCATATGCTTCAGGCTAGATTGGTGGTGGACGGACAATGAGTGATCAGCTGAGTTACTGGCCAAGAGCAGCCGGGCTGGCCTGACTATACCAGGAAGAGGAAGCAGTGAGTCATCTGCCAGAAGCATTTGTGTCAAAGTGCAAAATGAGGTCATTTTTAAGTATTCAAGGGCTCAGAAATCTTACCACTTACAAATCCTAATCAAAAGACTTTCTGGGTTATAGCCTTAAGCAAAATAAAAAGGAACCAGAAAGACGACACAGAATATAAAAGAAGGAGCTGGCAAAGACACCAATAAAAGCTGTTATTACTAATGAATACCAGGTGTCTTTTTGGAATGATCAAAATGTGTTGGAATTGGATAATGCTGATAGTTGTACAACTTTGTGAACTTACTAAAAACCAATGAATTGTGTATTTCTACAGGGTGAATTTTATGGTATGTAAACTATATTTCAATAACAACCTTTGGGGGATGGGAGAAAGCTGTTTTAAAATGTAAATTCATATTTTCTATAAAATTAACATTAATCTGGAGCCTGATCCAGATAATACCAACATCTTTCTGGAAATATTGTAGATTGAGAGGGTGGAGGTAAATAAAAGGGGAACCCTTCTATTTTCTTTTAGGAGAGGATGTAGTTACTGATAACTTGACACTAATGAAAACATTAAAGTTTAAAATTCTGTGCTAAAAATTTGAGTGTTATCACAGAAGACATACCACTAGACGATGTATAACTTTCAAAATGTTAGAGGAAAAGAAATGGAATTTTAAAAACCTGACTAATACTAAATGTGTAGAAAGGAAAGAGGAAAGACACAAGAAAGCATGGCAATAGAAAACACAAAATATGAAATATAAGATGGTAGGGAAAAGTCTAAACATATAATGATTACAATAAATATAAATGGTCAAAATTTAACTCTTAAAATACAGAGGTTTATAGATTAGGTAAAAATAAAGTCAAAAATAGTCCTGCATATGAAAGACATACATTAAAAATACATAGAAAGTTTGAAAATTAAGAAACAGATGAAGATATATCAGGTGAAAATCAATAATGGAGTAATTCAAACAGTAGATAAAATATAACCACAGATAAAAGTATACATGACAAAGTAATATTTAATAGGGATAAATGCTTTCAATGAGAAGTGATGGCAGTTATGCATGTTTCTGCACCTAAAGAATTCCTATAGTAGCATTTTGGTGGATCACTGATCCATGAAAAGATGAGAATACAAGTATCTATTGCAATAAATGCAATCAATAAACTACTCCAGACCCACAGACCAACAAAATGGCTGCTCCAGAAGACTAGAGACTGTGACAGATCTCCCCAGAACTAAGACAATCTAAGGTTCTAGTAAACTCAGAATTGATAGAGAAGAATGGAAATAATTCTGGTCATAAATAATAGACTTGGCAGATGCTTATGAATAAGAGTTGGGCTACTATGCCTCCAGAGTAGAAAGAGACTTCCTAAGCTTGATATACTCTAGTTTCCAGGGATTTGGGAAGCAGCAGAAAAGGAATATATTCCTTTATTGGTGGAGTCAGAAAGACTCTAAAGCCAGAAACTCCTTGGTCTCTGCCTCTCCGTGGACTTAGGTCTCATCCTCTCAGGCTGGCTTTTTGCACAAGCCTCAATAGGAGAAACGTTTATTTTTATATTCTAAAGTCAGTTAATATTTAAAACTTACCTTTCAAGAAATAAGCATGCTCTCACTTCAATTTCTTTTGGGATAATGTCAAATTCCTAGGGCAGGGAGTTGCCAGCAGGCCCTGATATCCTTATAAATCCGGAACCAAAAACCTTGTCCACATTCAATTGTTTCCTGACCCTTTTGGACAACAGGGCAACAAATCCTTTCTTTCTAATCTTGGCAGAAATAAAGGTTGTCTTTGCCATGGTTCATATCACTCTTAGTTCTTTGAGCTTAGTTCTAAAGTCAATAGGAGGCCACAAGCAAAAAAGGCCCTGAATCCTGCTCCATTCTCTTCTGAGAATGGTAGACACATGAATTCAATTGTATTACTTACCTTCACGTGTGTGACTATAATGATCTGATGCTATGATTTCACACATCTATGGATATTTGGCATAACTGGTGTCCCATAAACAGTCACTACTAAATTACCTTTGGGGTTTAAGTCTTATGCATTTTGCTACTAGCAATGAGATAGAAATAGCTGGCAGAAAAAATCAACATGGAGGGATGGAAACTAATATTTATTGAGTATTTCCCATATCCTAAGCAATGGGTAACTTTATGTATAGCATCTCATGAAAACCTCATAACAACATTAGGAGGTTGGTATTATTACCTTCATATTCAGATGAGGAAGCAGGCTCAGAGGTTAAATCACTCACCTAAAGCCAGAAAACTAATGAGAAGTCAAGCTGGGATCAGTTAGCAAGTGTGTCTAACTTTGATATTCACCAGAGTAGCACTGGAAGTACTTGAATTCTTTCTGAATTCTCTATATTTTACAAGTTGTATTATAAAAACCTTAAAGGGAATTTGAAAAGAAAAACATTTCCCTATGCTTTCTGCATAAAAAACTACACGTTGAAGTGGTAGAGATGGTAGGGTTTGAGTATTTTCACGTTCCATTTCTCACTTCCCATTGTGCCATATGCACTTCTTAGACATCTTCCTAACGATTGCTGTCGTTGTCACCTTATATTTTCCTGAGTTATGATATACCATAATATCCACAACCAACCTGTTGTCATGATCATCTCTGTTGAAAAAGGCTTCTTTTTTTCCTTTTGTTAATTATTTCCTTAAAATGAATCCCCAGGAGTGGGGTGACTGGGTTAAGGCAAATGAACATTTTTATGGTTCTTGACTTTTATTGCCAAATTGCTTTCCAAAGGGGTTGTATCCATTTACAAGGACAAGGCGGTGCATTTTTTTCCAAGGTCAGTTTTTAAAGATACTTAAAAGAAATAAAATTCTATATGGAGCCAGAGGTCTTGATAATGTGTAAATCATGATCATAAGCCAAACAGTCCTTGGAGAACCAGCCAGCCCTGGGAGCCAAATGCTAAGCGTTCCAAGAACTCCAATACTGATGGTAATCAAAACGAGGCAGTCATTTCCACATTTTCTTAGTGGGGTTCATGTTCAGTTTTGGAAGAGTGAGGGAAAATGTAATTCATCAATTATTAAAGTAATTAAGTATTATTTATTCTTCATAATGAAGAATTACAAGTTCTAAAATTTCTGCTTCGGACATTGTCAAATGTCGAAAAAACTGGCTTTATTAACAGGAATATGAAGAGCAGCAACCACCATTTATTGTGTGTCAGGCGCTGTGCTACATTCTTTATACATGTGATTTCACGATTTCATTTCTTCTAAAAATAACCTCATAAGGTACCATGGCTGCCAGCATTTGTAGATGAGGAAAGCATGTTAGACCATAATCTCCTTGAGGGCAGGGATATTTGTGTGTTGCTCACTGATGCAGCCCGAGTACTTAGAGGAGCACACAGTAGGTGCTCAATGAACACTGTTGACTGACTGAGGCTCCAGGAATATAAATAAGTTCTCCAGGGTCACAGATAGACAGTGGGACTCAAAGTTGGGACACCTGACACAAAGTCCTGGTTCCTAACCCCTCTGCTATGGTGCCTCTTGCCTGGCACAGGCAGACGTGCCCAGTTCTGGCCACTCACCTGACTCCAGCTCCCGGTGAACCACTCCACCTTGCCCGTGCAGGGTCCATTGTCACATGGGGTGGCCTCTGCTGGCCGGTTGTTCCCACAGCCCTCCAGGGGTAGGCTGCTGACATGGTTGGTCATGCACACCACCGAGCGCGTCCGCACTCCGGCCCCACACTCCGCTGAGCACTGTGAGACAGGGGAAGGGCACGTTAGTGGGGAGGCCCTGGCAGCTGCTGAAGCTGCTTTCAAATGATGCAAAGGAGGATGGAATGCTTCATTGCCCACCATCCGCTTCCCCTAGAAATATCTGACGGTGTCTCATGCATAGCCTGCTCCATCATGGGATGTCAGTAGGGTGACTCCTGCCTTAGATTTTCTGGGTTGGGCTTCATTCTAAATTCCAAATATCCGGTCTCACCACTGCAAGTAATTCACTTATACCTCTTAGGCTATCTTTCTCAGCTTTTGGTTTCAAAAATATAGTCAGGTTGGCTGGGTATGGTGGCTCATGCCTGTAATACCAGCAGCGCTTTGGGAGGCTGAAGTGGGAGGATTGCTTGAGGCCAGAAATTTGAGGCTAACCTGGGTAGCACAGCAAGACTGGCTCTACAAAAATGTTAAAAAAATTAGCGAGGAGTGGTGGTGTGCACCTGTAGTCCCAGGTACTCGAGAGGTAAGGCGGGAGGATCACTTGAACCCAAGGGTTTGAGGCTACAGCGAGCTATGATTGTACCCTGCACTCCAGCCTGGGCAACAGAGTGAGAAGACCCTGTCCGTAAAAATAAAAATAAAAAGAATTAAAAAAATATATTCAGCTGAAGCAGAATGGGTGCATGAAAACCTGGGCACATGAGACTGCGCCACTGCACACTGCAGCCTGGGTGACAGAGCAAGACTCCATCTCAAAAATAAATAAATAAAAATAATAAAAGGTAAATAGAATTTCAGTTGTCTTCATGTTACCAACCCTTAAATCGTTTCTTTCCAGTTAATTTTCATCTGACTAGTTAACTTAATTTTCTGCTTTTAAAACCAAGTAATGTAGATGCATCTGGGAAAGTGTCTCCACATCCCCATGTGCTTAATTTAAAAGACGAATGTTAAGGACCATGCCGGTGCCCAATGGGAGGACATCACGCGGATGAGGCCTAAGAGGAGTTTCACTTTATAACAACACCTGCAGTGAGAAGCCCAACAAGCATAAATGTGAAAGAAGCTCACCACACAGGACCTGGCCCAGGAAGCCGGTCAGCAGAAGCAAGGGGAAGGAGAAGCCCCTAGCAGGGAGCAGGGACTAACCTTCCAAGTGAGGCTCCAAACCCCACCCACCCACAGTCCTTAAAGGATGCTCCTAAAAGGACCAAATCTGCTTTGCTAGTCAGAAAAGGACAAGACTCGTAATCGAACTTCTAGGCTGCTAAAGCACAGAAACACATGGAATTCCTCAACAAGCCTCTGGTGGGGACTGACTCCAGCAACAGCTAAATCCTAACCTTGGCCCAATTGGCCCCTGAGGGACTCTAAGGCTCTAATAACTATTCTTGAACGTCAGCTTCAGGCATTATTTTTGTAATTTAAATAACTCAGTATTTTTTTTCCTGGAAAACTTTCTTAGAAATTAGGTGTTACCAAACTGAGGCTGGTGGACTTTCTAAAAGCGTTTTTTCCTATGGTGATTAAAAATGGCACATGTGCTTAAACCTATCATCGATTTGCAGAACCTAAAAGTCAGTGATGCTTACTTCTGATAAGGCCCACTCTCAATTAAAAGCAGCTGAAAGGTGTTGGTAAGGCCAGAAGAACTTTGTGTCCCTAGAAGTTTAAGAGATTCCCACTGGGGTTACAACCTCAATGTGTTTAGGGAAAGAATAGTTAATTTTAAATTGGGCAATAAGACGCACTCTGTACCCTTCAGTGTTTGCAAACCTTAATTGTCTTTGGTCTCTCCCTCTTGAGCTTGTTGAATCGGAGGCTGTGTCTCATTCCTGACTGGCATGTAACAGGTGCTCAACACATGTTTATTCCCAGTAATAAAAAATTTCATAGCTCAGACTAAAGCTTAACAAAGCCGACTTTTACACAAAGCACTATTCACAGGTGGAAGACTGCCATCTGCTGGTCATTCTAGGGGCTGAACCTGCTCTAAGACCAACTGGTGGCCCAAAGGCCCCTGGTGACAAGGACAACAGGGCAAGACCTGTCCCTAAAAAGTAAAAATAGGCTGGTGTGGTGGCTCATGCCTGCACTTTGGGAGGTTGAGGTGGGCGAATCATGAGGTCAGGAGTTCAAGACCAGCCTGGCCAACATGGTGAAACCCTGTCTCTGCTAAAAATACAAAAAATTATCTGGGTGTGGTGGCGGGTGCCTATAATCTCAGCTACACAGGAAGCTGAGGCGGCAGAATCACTTGAACCCAGGAGGTGGAGGTTGCAGTGAGCCAAGATTGCACCACTGCACTCTTGTCTGAGGGGTAGTATGAGACTCCGTCTCAAAAAAATAAAAATAAATACATAAAAATAAAAACTAAAAAATCCCAAACATTTAGAAAATAGGAGATTGTTTCAGTTATGTAGTTCTATAATAGCTTATAATAAAAATAATGTTTTAAAGATTTTTGTGCTTATAATTCTATGAAAAGAGCAGGTGACCAAATTATGCATACATTCCGATTTATATCTGTAAAATATGTATGAGGAAAAAAGCTATGTAGGTAAAATATGTATGAGAAGAGAACAGCTTGAAGTAGAGCTTAAAACAATCTCAAATTTTCTTTCAGTGAAGAGGCTTGGAGCATACTTTTCCTTTTCCAAATGTTTCATATTCTTAAAACAATACTGCATTACTTTATAACCAGAAAAAATCAACACTATTTGAAAAAGAATCTTTCCAATAAAAAAATGAAAGCCCAGCATCATTCTTTTCACCCATTTGCGATACAGGAAATCCATCCAGTTTACTGTGAACACAAATGAGTTTTGGGTTGGTTAGAAATTCAGAAACGGAATCACAAAAGGATAAGCTGAGGAAACCAGGGAGTTTTAGCCTGAAGAAAGTGGAACGAGTCCCCCAATGGCTGTAGGGCCATCCTTTTCTAAAGGACATGGGGACTTAGTAAGAAACATTTTGTTGGTTCATTGTAAAAGGAGACCTTTTGACACCTTGAGCTGCACAGAAAACAGATGTAATTGGACATACAATTTCTGATAAAGGGTTTGGACAAGAGCTATGACCTATGTCAGGGACACCGCAGAGGATTCCTCATGCTGGCAAGGAGGCTGACATCAGAAACATCTTTCCCTCCTGTTTCCACAGTGCCTCTAGCTAATGTTTGGGATGGGAGGCTTGGAAAATGGGGATACACAAGAAGAACTAGGATGAGCCCTCCTGGACTCAGCTTCATGGCAGAAGTCAGCGACCAGGTCAGCATTTACTCTCTGTCTGTTGCTCTTTGGTTAGAGCCTCCCAGATGGCCAAATTAGTGTCTGTCCTGGGTCTGAGGGCACAGTCAGGTACTCATCTTGGGAGCTCAGTATTTGCACCAAGGGCTCTCTATCCGGGACCATCCTGGGGTTAAGGGGCAGGGTCTGTATGCCATGAGGTGTGGGGAGCCCACAAGATGAGTCGCTAGGTAAGAATCTCCAGGACCATCTCAGGAGGTGGAGTGAAGTCTGCATTTGCAGGTTTGTCCTTCCTTTCTGTCTGGATAACACTCTCTATGGAAGTGGATCGTTATGGTGACGAGAGGGACAAAATTCAGGGGCGTCTTACACCTCAGAGGGAGAGAAAACCTGTGTGAACACCTCTAGGGGTGATGTTCAAAATACTCAACGACAGGTGCACAGGTCAGTGACCAGTCAAAATGAACAATGAACAGTTGGAGACAGCCAATGTGGCAGTATGGGGCATGTCTGCTGATGTCCCCAAACTGCATGAAAGGGTCCTTCTTTGAGTCTGAGATACAGTGATTGTTGTTCTCATGCTGCTGGGGGGTGTAGACTGGGGTGGGGGCTCACAGGCTGCATCAGGTCCCCTAAGATCCATGAATTGGCTGGGGGCTCCTCTGTCTTTTTTATGGCCTTGTTACTCAGAGCGTGGTCCTTGGACCAGTGGCCTCAGGGACCCGGGAACCTATTAGAAATGTACACTGTGGTCAGGCGCGGTGGCTCATGCCTACAATTCCAGCATTTCAGGAGGCCGAGGTGGGCAGATCACATGAGCCCAGGAGTTCAAGACCAGCCTTAGGCAACATGGTGAAACCACAAAAAAATACAAAAATTAGCCAGGGGTGGTGGCAAGGCAACTATAGTCCCACCTATGTGTGTGGGGGTGGGGAGGGGGCTGAGGTGGGAGGATCACTTGAGCCCAGGAGGAAGAAGCTGCAGTAAGCTAAGATTGTCCCATTGTGCTTCAGCCCGGGCAACAGAATGAGACCCTGTATCAAAAAAAAAAAAAAAAAAAAAAAAAAAAAAAAAAAAAAAAAAAAAAAGAAAAAGAAAAAGAATAGCAATGTGGACTCCCTGGCTCCACCCCACACCTGCTGCCTCAGATCTGCACTTTAATGCAGTTCACGGGTAATGTGTAGGCACAGGATTCTGGCAAGGGAAGTGGGGCAGACCTAGTGTATCCCAGCGGTGGGCTGCTAACCAAGGTCAGAGATGACCAGTCAGGTCCTGATCCCAGGTAAACTCCCTAGATCTCCCGGAGAATCCAGAACCTGGACTTGGTACCTCTGACAGCTGTGCAGCTGCCCTGGGCAAACCCTCTGGCCTCCCTCATGCCCGCCGATCTGCCGCTGCCACTGGGAAAGGAAGCACAATTGCTTATCTCCTTCTTCCTCTCTTCTCCCTGTCCCTGGGTATGTTCTTCAATTTGTTTAGAGTCTTTTCTCGAACTTTATTTCTGATTGCGGTAGAATACACATAACATAAAATTGACCGTTGTAACCACTTTTAAGCCCAAGCTCCGTGGCATTGGGTACACACATGCTGTCGTGTAACCACCCCTCCATCTCCAGAATCCCTTTTTCGTATAAATCATCCTTTTGCCCTTGGTAGACGGATTTAATCTATGACTGCTTTCCCTCGTATCCAGGTAACTGGTGGACTAATGGTTAACTATATATGCCTTTGAGTCATTCTTTGCCACCTGAGACTCCCCCTGGGAGGTCAGGCTACTGGGGAGGGAAATGGGGTGTGGGATGTTTTGAGTTGGCAGGAAGCAGTAGACGGCCTGCCATTGCTGAGTACCTATGAGATGCCGGTACTCACGAGATATATGAAAGACGTGATGTAATTATTCACTTTACCTAGCATGACTGAGTGACCACATGGAGTGCTAAGGGCAGTTCAATCAAGTTTTTCACCCACTCTTCGCCTCTGGAGCCCCTCAGTCCTCATGTAAGGATAGAAGCCTACGATAAATCCTCTCTGGGCTTCCCCCCTGCACACCAGAGCCAGAAATCAGCCTTGGGATTCTGAGCTTGTGATTGATCTTCCCGTGGTTTCGAGGGCAGCTGGCAGACCTTGGTCCCGGGCGCTGTGCCCGCCATCACACTCACCCTTTCACTCCACTCAGTGAGGAACCAGCTCTTGGCACAAGGTCCCATGTCACAGTTCTCAATGTCATTCGGCCGGAGCTTCATGTTGCATTCCTCATCGGCAACCACGTCCCCAATGTTGCTCACACACTTCACGTCGCGGGTCCTCTGTCCCACTCCACAGGGCACCGAGCACTGAAACACACAGCATGCTGGTGTCAGGACAGCCAGCGGCTTCAGCTCTGGGAGAGAATCACCAGCATGGCGCCTGCAGCCTTTGTTACCAGCCCCATGAGACCACACTGAGGCCCTGTCATGCCTGTCACCACCTGGGGCAGGGACCTGAGCCCTAGAAAACTCTACAACCCTTTTCTCTAAGACCTTCTTAGATGCCTCACCTACTGTAAACTAAAAATTAAATCCTCAGCTGGGCGTGGTCACTCATGCCTGTAATCCAAGCACTTTGGAGGCCAAGGCGGGTGGATCACCTGAGGTCGGGAGTTCAACACCAGCTTGGCCAACATGGTGAAACCCCATCTTTATATATATAAAAAAAATTAAATCCTAAGCCCTCCAGCTGACTGAACAGGCTTCCTCTTGGGCAAGGAGACCCCAGAGAAACTTTAAACATGGAGTTCCTGGCCACGACAGGATGGGAGGATGGACACAGCCTGTCATACCACTGCCCTTCTGAAGTATAGACACAACTAACCAGCATTACTGTTAAGAGAGAAATCATAAGATTGACCAAATGGACTCTCTGTGGCAATAAGATACCAAATTATAAACAGGGCCCAATGCCATGGTAGGCAAGGATTAAGTCATGCACCTCTGCCCTTGAAGAATCAACCACGTTTTAAGTTGCCTGCGAAGAAGGTCTTACGATTTGTGGCTTATATCCTGTTCTGAATAAAGAATATTACTGTGAGTCCCTCAGATCTTATGAATTCTTCAAACTGTTGACATACTGATTAATACGTAACCTGTGGACACTGAAGAGGACGATGGTTTGTTTCTGAGTCATAAAGTTTTGCTGATTTATTTCTGATTCATGTTACTGGCTTGCGCTTAATACATTTAGCCTATATGTTGTCATCTGTAGCCAGTGATTATGGCCTCTGTGCTGTACCCTCCAATGAAAAAGACAACTCCAATTCAAGGGGTCCCCTTCTCTTCTCCTAAATGTTCTTCTAAAAGCCTTTCAACTTGTCACAGGCTTTGGACCACGTCCAACGTTGGTGGTATGTCTTTTGGGGTTGGTTTTTACATTGGCTTCCAATAAATCTTTATGAAATTATTACTGCCTTAACAGCCTTAATTTTGGTTGACACCACTTTATTCTTCCAGGCCTCAGTCTTTTCATCTATGAAATGGGTGGGGAAGATTGGAAGGAGTTAGCTCTACCAGCAGTTGCCAACCTTCACTTCGCCATGATGCACAGAACAGATGAGGCTGGTATTACAGGACCCCCCTGGGCTCGCCCATAAAGTTGGCTGCGTGCGGCACACACTACCCTGAACTCGACTGAACTATAGGTCCATCCCATGGTTTGCAGAAACAGCTGTCCAGACCCCCACGGGATGTGTTCCCTCCTGTGGAACTCAGGGTTACCCATCTCAGGTCTTGGTGGGGGAGGCTGGAGAGTGGGGTGGGAGCTGGAAAGGGGGCTGGAGCGGGCTGCCGTGCTGCGTACCGAGGTCCAGTCGGTCCGGATCTGCCACTCACTGCAGATCTTGAGTTGGCAGGTGCTGGTGGTCTCGGGCTTCTCCAGGTGCTGGCAGCGGTAGGGCTGCACCGTCAGGCTGCGGTTGGCATACACCTGGCGGCACAGGACCTGGCGGTGCTGCATGCCCAGGCCACAGGTCTTGCTGCACTCAGACCACTCCCCGATGTCCCAGCTAGCTCAGGAATGAGAGAGCGAGAGAGACAACCTTCAGTCAACAAGAAGGGAGCGTGAGCCTGCCCCAACTTACACAGAATCATCAGAATCACCACGGGTGGAGTCTCTTACTAGAGTGTTGTTTAAAAGTCAGCCTAGGCTGGGTGCAGTGGTACATGCCTGTAATCCCAGCACTTTGGGAGGCTGAGGTGGGAGGATGGCTTGAGCCCAGGAGTTCTAGAACAGCCTGGGCAACATGGCAAAACCCCGTCTCTACAAAAAATACCAAAGTTGGCTGGGTGTGGTGATGCACGACTTTAGTCTCAGCTACTTGGGTGGCTGAGGTGGAGGGATGGCTTTAGGCCAGGGATTAAGGCTGCAGTGAGCCATGATTGTGCCACTGCACGCCAGCCTGGGCAACAGAACAAGACCTTGTCTTGAAGGGGAAAAAAAAAAAAAAAAAAAGAAGGAAAAAGAAAAAGTCTGCCTAAAGGTCATCTGACTCTGTAAAGGAAGATAAATTTGCTTGACATGCTATTTATCAATAATTAGGGCCAAGATTCTATAAAAAGCTATAGAAAACTGAAAAGGTACAAATGATTTTTATCTAGCAAAAAAAAAACCAAAACACTAACCCCAAAACAACCGCCAAAGGTTGGTTTTATTACCCTGTAGATCATGAACCCATTTTTGCTGCTAACTTAGAAATCTTATTCTAGTGTTCTTTTTCATTAACAATTCCCAGGTCAGCTTCCCAAACCCTCCTCTGTCATTTGCTATATTAGTTAAATGAGACATCAGCCCATGCTCATCATATAGGGGGATGCGAATTAAATTTTTATTACTCTGAAAATTAGGTTTTGACCCTTTTAGGGCCCTTTCCCCTTGTTCTTCTTCAAGTGTCCTAGTTATCATTCTATAACCATTTCAAGGCGGGCGTGGTGGCTCACGCCTGTAACCCCAGCACTTTGGGAGGCCTATGTGGGCAGATCTTTGGAGCTCTGGAGTTCTCAACCAGCCTGGCCAACATAGTGAAACCCTGTCTCTACAAAAAATACAAAAATTAGCCAGCTGTGGTGATATGCCCTGAGTCCCGGCTACCCAGGAGGTTGAAGCAGGAGAATTGCTTGACCCAGGAGGTGAAGGTTGCCGAGATCGTGCCACTGCACTCTGGCCTGAGCGACAGAGCTGGACTCCACCTCAAAAACTAAAACAAACAAACAAACAAGAACCAGTTCAAGATCTCTCCTGAGATACTTTTCCTGGCCTCTCCAGGCTGATGTTTTTGTGACTTGCATTATCCTGTCTCTGTAAACAGCTCACCCAGGACACTAACTACACTGGCTTCTCATGCTTTGCTTCCTCCTTTGTTTTCCTTACCAGGCTCAAATCTAATTGCTCTGACTTTGCCAAGGGTGGGCTTTCCAGGAGCGGGCTGACTTGCTAAAGGCTATCACCCCCCGAGTTCATCCTGAAAGACAGGTATGTTTGCCAACCAGGCTGCATTTTATGCAAGGTCCAAGTCTTGTATTTCTAAATCAGATTTAGATTGACTTAAACCTAGATTATATCTGCTCCTGAGGTCCTGTGTACAAGTGACCTGAAGTAACCTGGTAACAAGCAACCTCAACGGAGGGGCATCTTACAAGGCTGGGCAAGGGAAGATGTTGCAGGGCTCCTCCTCAGGGGTCGGCTTCATGCTGGAGTCACAGTAGCTCTCCGGAGCCTCTTCGTGAGTGCTTCTGTGCACACAGCGGAAAATAGGGTACTGCGATCCTGCAATGATAGGAGAATGTCTGAAGGACTGTACCACACATGAGAAAGCTGGGCTATGGGTGGAGAGGCACAGAGATTTGGGTGCTGATGAAGAGAGGGCACAGAAACAGTGAGGACAATTCACACATGCACGCACACTCACACCCCCTTCATTTGAGGGTTTACACACACCTACCTCACAGGGTCTTTGCTAGGAACTGTGAGGGTGCAAAGAAGAGCCTGCCCTAAAAGAAATCAACAATCTATTTGTGGACACAGTCTGCTCAAAGGCAGATACGAACCATCTTCATAACAGTTCGAGATAACAAAAGAGAGATCCCTAGGCAGTGGAATGATGTAGAATGAACACAAATAGTAGTTTTTCTAAGATTCTCTGGAAGCATCAAAAAGAAAGCATCCTAAAAGGGTCAAGCTTCATTCTTGAGAAAGAACTGGGTTTGGGTAGACGTGTGAATTTGTATTTTGGAGGGAAGGGGCCATCTAGGTCATTAAACTGGAATGAAAGTACTTGCCTGACAAACTAGCCTTTTAGACTGGGTTGACTTGCTAAAGGCGATCAGCTCATGAGTTCATCCTGAAAGACGCTTGCTAAACAGACTGCATTTAAGGGACACGTTGAAGCACAGAAATAGAAGATTCAAGAAAGGGCAGAAGAGCAGCTACCTCCCCCTTTGGCAAACATCTTACACGTTCTTCTAATAAAGTACCCATGAGACAGTGAGTTTCTGAGGGACAGGGCTACTTCCTCATCTCTGCAGCCCCAGTACCTATGGATAGTGGCAGGTGCTCAGTAAATGACTGTTGAGTGAGTGAGTGGTGTTGAATGGATGTTTATATCAGCTTTATGTTTTTTGTTTTACTTCCATTGGCGTAATAAGGATGCATCTATTTTTGATAAAAAGCCAGAAGTTATTAAGCGGAATGTCTAGCTCTCAATTAAAAAAAAAAAAAAAAAAAAAAAGCTGCTTTAATTCTGCCTTCCTCTTTCTGTTGCCACCTGGTGGCAACACTGAGCTATTACTAATGGACATTTATAATGTGAGAAACGCAACCCCTGAACGTGACCGTCTGAACCAACTACCTGAAGATGCTCCTTCGTAAGTAACTGTCTTCCCTACGGTCCAGGGCAATATACAACTCCTGCCGGGAAGAATGCCATCCTTTATTTTACAACTCTGTCTTATCTCTGTTGCTAATTGGCCAGGCATTTATATTTTCTGAAACTCAAACTCCTCATGATTTTAACTGCAACGTGGGGGCTAACTTTTAACATTAATGTCTAAATATTTCATCAGCCATGAAAATGTTTCAGTCATTTTTCAAGCTTATCTTGTATGACACACTGAGCCAGAGGGTAGTAAGAAATCTGACAATTTGCAAGACAGTGTTGGATCTGAAACGATCATTTGTTTAAATTACCCTGGCAGTAAAAATTTACAGTGTGCCTATAACTTGAGACCATTATTTAAAATAACGTTCCAATTAAGCACAATTATTGGCTGAGTAAAAGGCAGTACTGACTGTAAAGTTAATGGGACGCAAAAACTTTTGTGGAATAAAGTCTGTCCAGCTACAGATCTCCTTCCATTAAATAGAACAGGTTTTTAATTAAATTCAACAAACATTAAGCACACTGTGCAGTTATCAAGATGAATACATGGTTCATAGCTTTCAGTGTACTTGACTGGGACTCAGCTACTAAGAGATTAAGATCTTACTTAGCCTATTCCTTTCCCTTCAGACCACGTGGGTTTAGCTTTTCTACTTACATGCTTGTGGATAGGAAAGCAAAAGAAACTCTCCCAACCACTTGGCACTTAAATAAGGGGGAAATCAAATTTTTCTTAGCAAAAGGATGTAGGCTCACATAGGAATGCTGTGTCGGGAAGATGGGTCCTGCCGGGGCCGTCCAGCATCTGGCCACTGCTCATCTTCCCTTGACATTTTATAGCCTTTGTGAACACTGTCCATGGTCCAGCTCCATGGAAATGAACTCAGAGCCTCTCTGTCTCTCTGATGGTGGGAAAATGCCAGATCTACAAATCATTTTTTTTTTTTTTTTGAGATGGAGTTTCACTCCGTCACCCAGGTTGGAGTGCAGTGGCATGATCTCTGCTCACCGCAACCTCCGCCTCCTGGGTTCAAGCGATTTTCCTGCTTCAGCCTCCCAAGTAGCTGGGATTACAGGTGCCCGCTACTGCACCTGGCTAATTTTTGTATTTTTAATAGAGACGGAGTTTTGCTATGTTCTCTAGGCTGGTCTTGAACTCCTGACCTCAGGTGATCCGCCTACCTCTGCCTCCCAAAGTGCTAGGATTACAGGCATGAGCCACCACGCCCGGCCCAGATCTATAATTCTTGAGTCTAGTGACTGCAGTGGTTTCTTACTTTGGGTATGTTTTATTATCTTTAGAAAGGGAGGGAGCACCTGGCCACCTCCCATTGTTCAAGATTGCAATTCAATTATTCCTTTACTTGCTAGCAAGCTGAAACAAGTGGTAAGGTCAGGTGCTGGCCGGGCTTCAGGCAGCAGGAAAAAATCTGGGATCAGATGGGTCGCCTTATATGCAGGCGCATTGATCAAAACAGAAATACGTCATGTTGAAGGAGGGGACTGTACCACAGGTAATTAGCAGATAATAAATGAGGTCAGTGAATTCAGGGGCTAGTGTAGAGGTCAGTGGGACATTAGGGAAGAGTGACAAAATAAAGAGCAAAAAAAACCGAAATGACTCCAGACTTAGAACTCTAGGGATCAACTGAAACAAGCCGAGAGTTTGACAGAGGCCTGGTGAATGGCTGTGTACGTATAGACCACACTTGGACGCCAGCAATGGGGCCCTTCCCTGAGATGGCCATATCATGATGCTGGAAGCACTTAGACAAAGGGAAATTTGACCATGAAAAGCACAGAACTGTGTGGTACGGTTAGCTCCATCAGGAAGGACTGGAGAAAGCTTTGGGAGAGGACGTGTGCGAAAACACACAATGAGATCACAAGGGGAACAGACTTATTCCAGGAGTAAGTGACTTGGACAATGCCGGCAGGCTTGGGATTTCCTGGTCACTTGCCATGACTGCTGACAACCATGAGACGAGCTCCACATCTGTGCCCTGCATTGCCTCATCTACCCTGCATGTCTGGTGCCATCACCGCCTGGGAGGGAGCAAAGGAGGGGCCTCCATGGGCTGCCACCTGTCACATAAAAGCAAAAGGGAACTAGGATTGCCCGAGAAGGGAGGGATGAGGAGTAACACATCCCTGGGCTTGCTTTATTTCCAAGGCACCTCTTCAGTATCTCTTGGGCCTGAGAACTGGTGCCATTTACTGGATAAAGAAGAGATAAACATGTCATCTCAGACATTCTGAGTGGCAGATGCTGAGAGAGAGAGAGAGAGAGAGAGAGAGAGAGAGAGAGAGAGAGAGAGTGTGTGTGTGTGTGTGT